TTGCCACAAAGAAGAGGGAGTCAAACTATTCTCCAAGGCACCTGAGGGTAGAACAAGAAGCAATGGGTAGAAACTAATTAGGGAAAGAAGCAACATAGAACTAAGGAGAAATTTCCTGATAGTTAGAACAATTTACCAGTGGAACAGCTTCCCTCCAGAACTTGTGAATGCCCCAACAGTGGAAGTCTTTAAGAAGATGTTCGATAACCATTTGTCTGAAATGGTATAGGGTTTCCTGCCTAGGCAGGGGGTTGGACTAGAAGACCTCCAAGGTCCCTTCCAACTCTGTTATTCTAGTCTCTTCTGAATCCTGCTGAATCACTTACTTGTGTGTGCTTTCTGAATGTGATCGCCGCTGCAAAATCTGACACGTCCTTGCAGCAAATAGCGAATAGGCAGATCAGCTTCAGCACATTATTGCAGTCTGATTCAGCAGGAGCGGCTGATTGGTGGATGGATCGGCCTCCCAGAATACCCCCCATCAGCTGTTCCAGGCTGCAGGGATTGCCAGAGACTATCACCTCCTCCATTTGTTTTTGGCTACCTTTGATGTATAAGACGCAGCCAAATTTTCACCCTCTTTTACAGGGGAAAAAGTGTGTCTTATACTCCGAAAAGTACGGTAAGTCTAACTGTCCTTGAATTCTGTTGACCTTATTTAACTCCAAGCAGATGCTAACCATTAGTTGAGAAGATTCTTAATTGCAAAAGTGGTTGAGCAATAACCACTCACTGGACCTTCACATGTCCATCCAATCTTTCACATCTGGCAGGAGGAATGTCCATCACAGTGAATGGCAACGTTTTGTCACGCACCCAAATGTTCACCCACTTTTTGTGGGGGGGGGAGGGGAGTGTGTCTTATACTCCGAAAAATACAGTACATGTGTTATTTTTTGTTTCTTTCCTTTTTGTAAAATGGTACGCTCGGACAATATACTGTATTCAAAATACTTATATATAAATTAAAAAAACTTGAATATATATATATATATAATAAGAAGAGCCAAATATTATTACTGGAGGGCTGGAGTGGCTCTTTTGCAGAGCCAAATTCAACCGTATTGCAAAGCCCCATCACCCGAAATATTTTCAGTGCATCTCGCCGCCTTTAAATATTCCCTCGGCGAGCCAAGTAGTTGGAAACGACTTCACGAACTCGTTTCCACGATGCATTTGAGGAACAAGGTGCCTTCTTTCAAATAAGTGTATTTCGGGGACTGTAATTTGGCCAACGGAACGAATCTGGCAAAGCCGCTGGGCTCGTTCAGGTCCGTCTCTGGCCTCTGGAAGGAGGCAGAGGTTGGATCCGGCTGGAGATGTGTTGTCAGATTGTCCCCGTGGTCTTGGCTGAGCAAGATGAAGGTGATCTGCAAAGAGAGAGGTGGGGGGGAAGAGGGAGAGAGAGACAGAAGAAGTTAAGTGAGCTTCTGGGATGGGAAGGAAAGTTCTCGGCATCTTCAAAGAACCGGTTGGTAGGTCAAAGAAGCAGAGATTCCTCTGGTATCTCAAGGTCAGCAGAGGGAGGAATTCTTGGGGTTGAACAGATGGTGAGGAGGACAACATAGCTCAAGGCCTATGCGTTGGAAAGGCTTCCTGGAAAGAACGAAAGGATGTGGTGGGGGAGCCCAGCCAAGCAGCCTCCTTGCTTTGCCCCCCCCCCCCAACCTGGATACGGTCCACTCCAAGGGATGTTGTTATCTCACAAAGCTTCTGTGAAGTTGACAAGGAAGACATTGTACTTTAAGCCTGGGCTCCAAAATTCAAGAGCTCTCTCTCTCTCCACCCCCCTCTCTCATCTCTCTCTCTCTCTCTCTCTCTCTCTCTCTCTCGCTAGCTAGCTAGCTAGCTAGCTATCGCTCTCTCTTTATCATTTATCATCTCTATTTCTTCACTATTTCTATCCCCGCATCATGTCTTTCTCTGTCTCTATCACTTGATATTTCTTTCTATGACCTCTCTCTCCCTCCCTCCCTCTCTGATATCTGTCTGTCTGTCTGTCTGTCTGCCTGCCTGCCTGCCTGCCTATCTATCTGTCTGTCTGTCGTTCTCTATCTCTTTATCATTTATCATCTCTCTCTCTTAACTATTTCTACCCCTGTATCATGTCTTTCTCTGTCTCTATCACTTGATATTTCTTTCTATGACCTCTCTCTCCCTCCCTCCCTCTCTGATATCTGTCTGTCTGTCTGTCTGTCTGCCTGCCTGCCTGCCTGCCTATCTATCTGTCTGTCTGTCGTTCTCTATCTCTTTATCATTTATCATCTCTCTCTCTTAACTATTTCTACCCCTGTATCATGTCTTTCTCTGTCTCTATCACTTGATATTTCTTTCTATGACCTCTCTCTCCCTCCCTCCCTCTCTGATATCTGTCTGTCTGTCTGTCTGTCTGCCTGCCTGCCTGCCTGCCTATCTATCTGTCTGTCTGTCGTTCTCTATCTCTTTATCATTTATCATCTCTCTCTCTTAACTATTTCTCCCCCTGTATCATGTCTTTCTCTCTCTCTCTCTCTCTCTATTTCTGTCTATGTCCTCTCTCCCTCCTCCCCCCTCTCTCTTTCTCTCTCTCTCTCTCTCTCTC